GGCGATACGGTTTATTCGAGAAGAGCCACGTTATGGATGCATACATCCATTTTCCCGGCGTTGCCCATTAAATATGAACGCCCACGCCCCGGCCCTCTCACTTTCCCCCATAAATATGATATTCCACGCCCTTGAATTTCCACGACACCGCCATAAATCTTGTCCGCTCAAGGCCGCGCGGAAAAACCGCCACTGGAACAATAACAGAGAATTTTCAAATTCATCCGGAATACCCGGGACACCGCCCCGGGAACTGCCAGTCAAATTAGCAGCCGGACGTTCATGAAAAAATATACAAGCGAATTTTTATATTTATTTATGAATCCGTCCATTTATATGAATATTAATATTGCAACCAGTTTGACAATCTGCATAAGAAAAAATGTTTTATATATCGTGTCTGACGTTTAAAAAATGATTCGTCAATTCATTCGTGTTCGTATGCAAATTAACGTCGAGAATCAATAGGAATAACGAATAATAAAATAATATCGAGAAGAATATTTGACAAATTGAAGAGAGGAGGGGAGGGGTGGGGGGACGTAAATTAATTGTGCGCTCGTTCCGCGCTCGTTAAAAAATTCTATTTCCCAAATCCGCGGTGCTCGAGACTAACGACCAACGCGTCGTTTAATCATCCGCCGGTCAAGCGAGTCTCTGATAAAGCGTGGCCGAACAAAGGCCGCGTCGACGTCTAAATAAAAATCCGGGTTCTAAAGCGGCACGATCGGAGATCTCGAAGAGCAACCGGGCGCTGACGGTGGAGTGGCAGTAATAAAAAAAGAATAAAGAGGCACGGTGGAACGGCGTAACGAGCGGTGTGCGTGTCGATGAGAAGCTCGTCCGAACCCGGAACGAGTGGCTGAGCGGAGTTAGCCAGGGTGTCGTTTCGCGAAAGCTCCGTGACTAATCGAAACGACGTGGACGAATTAATGTTGAGAAACGAGCGTCAAGATAAAATGTTAACGAGCCTCTTTATTAATGAATCCTCATAGTAAAATTCCGTATAATCCATGATTGAGAAAAGAATAATTACCGTTCGCACATATACATACATACATTTTTTTTTTATATACCATAAATCACGCGAGGATTGAGTAGTAATTATTAGGTCTACCGGAAAGTTCTGTCCGTTTCTTTTACAACAAATTTCGACACGTAAGCACATGTTTATTAAGCGCATGTGTGCCTCTCTATTTTTAACACTTAATCTATACATACTCACGTAGCAAATTAACTAAAACAAAGTTGATTCACGTTAGACTTATGTGTGAAGCCATAGTGTACCCATGGCTACTGATAAGCTTCATTTACGCCACTGTATTTTATACGAATTTCAACAAGGAACAAATGCTACAGAAACATGTAAAATTTTATTGAAATTGTTTGGTGAAGGTACAGTTTCTGATAGGACATGCAGAAGATGGTTGAAAAAATTTTTTGAAGGGAAAAAAATTGAAAAATGAAGAAGATATGAAACAAGCACTAGTTGAATTTTTCGCATGAAAAGATAAAACATTTTTGAAAAATGGGATATACAAATTGCCCTCGCGTTGGCAAGAAATCATTAATAATAATG